TTATACTCCGGCGGTGGTGTGGAGTCCTAGGACAATAGAAGATGCGAGAGCTCAAGAACGTCAAAAAAAACACTAAGAAGAGCTTGAAAAACTCCAAAAAAAAGAGAAACAACAGGAACGAGCTGCTAGTATAGCTCTACGAAGAAAATTAATAGATGAGGCAAGGACTGCGCGGGAGTTGAAGAAAATAGCGAGGGATAAAGAGAGAGAAGTGAGGGCCAAAGAACTCTAGTTAAGACGCGCCTAAAAAGCTCGCGATCGCGCAGTCGCAACTTCAAAAAAAGCTCGCGATAAGCAAAATATACCTAAACGAAAAGCTTCATCGTCTCAAAAGTCAAAAAAGTCAAAGGGTGGTGGTGATGCAGGCAGCCAAAGTGGTGGTGCGTCTGCATCGTCGGCTGCGCAGCCCACCACCAAAACAACGATGCGCGGCCGCAACATCAAACTGCCAAAGAAATTTGAGTAGATAGGATTGTTTTTTGAACTATTTAGACTACTCCACTAAAAAATCTCGTGATAATAGCTTTTGTATGGTGCTCTACAGCCTCATTTTTGATAGGCGGACATTTTAGTGGTGGTGTTGCATTGTCTGACCCGTTGCACGCATTGACCACCCACACTAAGTTAGGCTAGCAATCGCGTTGCGCGCGCTTCCCAGCGCGTTAGTCAATTAGTGTTAATTTTAGAATATTAAAGGCTATAGCAGCGCGTTAGGTACTTTAGATTTAGTTTCTATCTAAAGAAGAGAGAGCAAGCTAAATATCTACCTTGTGAGAGATTAACTAAGAAGCGTAGCTTGGAGGCATTGTACGCAAAGGTGTGGTGGGTGATCAAAGTTAGTAGGGTGACCGACTCGCTTGTCTGACCGACTCGCTTATCCGTCACGTTATTCAAATGTAATCTATATAACTAGAGAAAAAAGGAAAGGACTAAGAGAAGCCTGCAAAGGCAATCTATTACTACCTATCCTCTTTTAAACAAAAGAGGGTATAGAAGCAACTATTACCTTTATTTAAGAAATAAAGGCTAGAATACAAGCCTAGTATAAGGGAAACACAGAAAACGAGGAGTAATACCTATAACAGGTAGCTATACACCTCCCCCACCCTATCCCACCCCCTACCTACTAACTAATAGGCTACGAGCCTTACCTTTATTTAGTTAAAACCCCTCCTAAATATCGTAGCTAGAAACAACCTACTTAGATACTTGTAGGCCTAAAAACCCTACACGTCTTATATAGCCCTTTGGGCTGAAAAAGGACGTTAAACTAGAATAATAATAATAATAATAATAATAATAATACCCCTTGCCCCTTGTCCTGCCCCGCACCCAACAACCGCTAAGTACTGCGGCAACGGAGACGCCTGTCTGTCTGTCTGTGTATGTACACACATACTGGGTCAGAGCGAAAGCATGGGAAAGAGAAAGGGAACAAAGGAAAAAAAGAAAAGAAAAAGAAAAAGGGTACATGCTCGCTGTGCTAGTGTTGCTGTATTGCTGTGTATGCGCATGTATAGATTGCGAGATTGAGGTTAGTACTTACGTAGCCAAGTATAATGCATAACAGAGACTTAGAAGATGAGATAAATTATACTTACGCATATGTCTTCCTGTCTTTTCATCTTTCCATCTATCCAGAATATACATGGACATACATATAAAGACGCAGTCATTATATGCAAAATCCACCCTCCCCCCCCCCTCTCTCTCTCCCCTCACAATGCCGTTTCCACTCTTAAACCCGTGCTAAACCCCGATTCTCGGAACGGCAATCTTGCGCATCGGAGCCGAGTAGACACATCCGATGTCCGATGTCCGATATTTGTCTGTGTATCGACGGCGTTAGGGGCGAGGGAAGGAGGGGGCGTTTAGTAGGGATTAGTAAGGATGGATGGGGAAGGGGAGTTTTATTGGAGGGATTATATTATAATGGGTATTTTGGGATTTTAGGGGTTTAGGGGGGGGGTGTAGGCTGTGCTGTGCTGTGCTGCGTATGTCCGTCATGTCCGGTATGAAGAGTGTTGTTGTAGATGGGCGCATGATGGTGGTGTGTGTATGTGTGGGTAGAGCTAAGTATGTCTGCATGTGTGTGAGGAGAGGGTATATAAGAGGAATGTAAAAGTAACAGGTTCAACTCATCGGTTCATCAAATATCACCACTCGACAATCCCCAACAGCTACCAGATCAACCACCAACATACATCCTACACACCTTACTTCCACCCCACCCACCATGGCCAAACCCATCATCGCAGTCTTCGGCGCAACCGGCAACCAAGGCAACTCGGTCGCACACTTCATCCTCGACTCGGCCCACCTCTCAACCCAATACACCGTCCGCGCCATTTCGCGGGACACGCAAAACCCCAAAATGGGCGCCCTCGCTGCAAAAGGCGCTCAGCTCGCCCAGGCAGATCTCGACGACCTGGCATCCCTCGCGGTAGCCCTCGAGTCCGCCTCGTACATGTTCCTCGTGACCACCACACCACCGGCCTACGCTCGCGCGCGCGCTCTCGAAACCATGCAGGCGAAAAATGCGTGTAGCGCTGCGCTGGACGCAGGTGTACGATATATTATTTTCAGCTCCATGTCGCATCCGGCAGCGCTATCGCAGGGCGCGCTCACGCACGCCGTGCACTTTGACGTCAAAGCCGAGATCGAAGCGTACATTCGCAGTCTACCTGTTCAGAGCGCCTTTTTTGCTCCCGCGTCCTTCATGCAGAATCTCACGGGGCGGTCGGCGCCGCGGCCCGCACAGGAGGGCAGTGGTGCTGACTACGTTATGGTGGATATGCTGCCTGGGGATGCGCGCGTGCCGTATATTGATGTGACGTAGACGGGGAAATGGGTGGGTGTGATTTTGGCGGCGCCGGAAAAGTACGCGGGAAGCTTCTTTGCGGCGGCTGATGCTGTGTATACGCCTGACGAGATTGCGGAGGTCATGTCGAGGGTTACCGGGAAGAAAGCTAGACATGTGCAGTTGCCGGATGAGGTAGTCAGGGGGTTCTTTCCGGATGCGTCGAGGGACCAGTTGTTTGACATGTTTGCGTTTATGAGAGAATATGGGTATTTTGGAGCGGAGCAGGACAAGTTGGTGCGGTGGGCGCAGGAGCAGATTGGAGGACGAGTAACGAGCCTTGAAGACTTCTTGCGGAGGGTTAAATACAAGCTCGAGTAAAGAGAAGCATACGCTTGGAGTAATTGCTGTATAGTAGCTTAGAAAATAGAAGCTTGGATATTTAGACTGCCATTATTTTCATCCTCAAACACCATTGATACACCGCTGTACATCTGTTCGGAGAGGTACAGACTGCTAAAACAGTAACCCTAATGATACAAGCGTCAACAACCATGTCCGCCTAAGCGCCAAAAGCCAGAAATACCTCCAATGTTTTGTTTATACTCACGTAATGCATCGAGATGACCTGTGTTCAAGCCTGATGAAACATCATGACTAAAACCCAGTGTATCTTTGCATATTCTGGTCCGGCGGATACGCCCACATTACCATTGAATCTGGAATGAACAGAGCAGATAGATCTGCGTCTGAACCAGTGCCCAGGTCAAATTGCGTAAAGTCAAAATTCATATCAAAGGGGGCTTGTGCGCCCATGCCCATCATATCTGCCGTAGGCTGGCTTGGCATATTGGGATACCAGTTTGACTGCATGGCCTGCTGCGAATGCTGCGCATGCGCTTGCAAAGCTGCCTGAGCCTGTTGCTGGGACTGAGATTGCGCTGGTGTTTGCTGTTGTTGCTGGGCACCATTGTTGCTACTTCCCATTGCAACTTCGGAGAGAAGATGAAGCGGTGTTTGTTTTGCAGAGGATTGATGAGTCGAGGCATTGTGGGACGGGTTTGAGTTGCGCCTGGATTCGTACTCGGCTTCTGGCTGCTGTTCATTGGCCCCTGCTTTGATACGTGCAAAGCGTTCCTGGAGGCGCTTGGCGACGAAGTAGAATTTGCCATGGGGTGATTGACCATCGCGAGAGACAATGGCGTCGAACATCGACACTAGCTGTTCCGTGTACGCCTCGATCTGCAGGTCCTCCTTCTTGATGATGCTGCCCACTTCACCAGAGCTTGTTACGGATACCCACATCTTCATCAGACATACTATTGCATAGATAGCTCGTACACCTAGATCCAATTAGCAGTATGCTTCACGCGGGCCAGTGCCGACCTACAGAATATAACAGGCAGAGTCAGAAGAATATCGAGCTCAATGCTTAATATTGTGTCGAGTATGCCGTGCGTGGCTGTGAGACATTCACCCAAAGCACCGATATGGGCTGGGCCAACAGGAGAATCCTTCTTAGTCCCCAAAGCCACGTTCGTAGATATAGTATCCGACGTGTAGGGTGGTTGTAAATCAGCGCAGCCCTGGTTCTGGTGGAGGGCAATCTCGTGCAGATAGAGATTTGTAACGTGTTCGCCCAGTCGTAGAGTAGCTGGATCAATTAGTGATTGCATAGCATTCGGTTGCCTGTAACTTACGATCAACATCGCCAAGAGCGCTGTTCTCCTCTCTGAGCGTGTTCAGCTCGTTCTCAAAAATCTTCAGAGCGTAGATGACTTTGGGATCAGAAATGGTCACCTCTATCGAAGGGTCGTCCATGCAAAACTCGACCGATATCTTTTCTCCAATGTGCGCCAGCTTGACTTGTTGGCAAAGCAATTTGTCTGACGGAAGGGCCTCGGGAGAAGTCTCAAGAAGGCGGATGCTGTCTGCCATGAAATTGGTCCAGCGCAGCAAGATTGGTCGTCGTAGGATCATGGTAATGCTCATGCAAAGGTAGTAACATACAAGAAAGGTCCTCCTCGCTTCAACGCTGTTCGAGTCAGGGTGGAATGTCTTGAAGTTGCCACCCGAAACTTTCATAACATTCGGCGTCGCCTTTCTTCCTAGACCGAGGTCAAGAGCCATGACGGCAGCGCAATTCACCATCATGTAAAAATTGTGCTGCTCAAAGTGGAGAGGCGGGCGGTACCAAAGCACGGCGATGTGCAATGCTTGCACAATCTCGAGCGACTTTTCTCCGTTGCGCCAGATCAGGTCAGCAAGCTGATCCTTGAGGAGCCCCGTCAACTCCCGCTGAACCTCTTGTGAGACAAGTTGCTCTGCGCTTCCATGAGAAGATCCAGCTATGATGGAAAGGAACAGAAGTGGCTTCTTTTCCCGGACCTCACGGGCTGTAGTACCCGGAGCAATAGGCACTGCCGGAAAGTGCGGACAGATTTCGTTTATGTAGCGAACAAAGACACGCTCTGCAATTTCGGGCGTCATGAGGCTGTCAATAAGGGGATTGATATGGGAATGGTCGGCGTGAATTTTGCTCTTGCTCGTACGTTTCATTTCGGGATGTTCGGCAAGGTCACGATGTATGGCATCCATATCTTCGGGGATCGTCTACAATGTTAGTTCCCGGTTTGGAACCTGTGTAGCAATGTACTCACAGGATGCACATTATCCAGCTTCCTCCGCTTTGGCTCAGGGCCTCGCTGTATGTTCTGTGCCGGGCCGTACCCAGGAGGAATATTTGGGTATCTGCCTGCTGCTGAGTTAGACCAGTCCTGCTGCTGACTTCCTAGCCGAGAGGAACCTTCTGCAGGCATGGGTGCCATGTTCGTAGCGCCTTCGTGGTGTGGGAAACCTCCGTGATGCCTCATGTCCGGCCCTCCGGCCTTTTGCGCGTGCAAAGTCGCAGTCAACGCGTCGATTTTGCGCTCCAGCTCAGCCACCCGGCTGTCGGCCTTCTTCTGGCGCTTGCGTGTTGGGGGCGTCGTGATGCATGGCCGCCCTGCTTTGGCGCATCGTCTACATGATAGGTCTGGCCGTTCTTGGTCACAGCGCACCTTGAGCCCTCGACACGAATCGCATGCCCTGGGGCGCTTCAGGTCGGCCGGGGACTTGACAGAGCCCGGAGTATCATGGACGCTGTTGCAAGAAGTCAGCCCGGTGTCGGTGCGTGAAGTGTTGTGCTGATATATGTCGCTCGGCAGTGCTCAGCGACGCGCGCGTCTTGATGGGATATTGAGCAGCGAACTTGGCTGTGTGCAAGCAGCTTCTGCCGCGACATGGCGCGTGCAAATAGCACTGGCTGCCACTGTGCCGGTGTTGCCGCAAAGGGATTGCGCCTTGGTGTCGCAAAGGACAGAGGCGGGCTGCATGACGTACCCATCGTGGTCGCCTTCGTCTTCGTGCTCGTCATCGTCATGCGACGCCTCGGGGCCGGTGGGCGACGTCTGTTCGAGGGCGGGATCGAGTATGTTTGCGAGTGGGGCGGGCTGCGATAGCTGTGAGAGCTGCGGGGGCTGCTGGGCCTGGGAATGGTGTTGAGCGGTGGGCGATGGAAGGTAGTAGGGATGGCCCGACGTCTGCTGCGGTGCCGACGTGTAAAGCTGCTGGCTGCGCGGAGGGACCGACGAGGCGCTCGCGAAGAGCCTGGGATCTATCTGGCTTTGGTCTGCCATGACAGCTGCGTCGACGTCTGTTTCCAGGTCGGCGTCGGTGGCCGTATATCACCCGAACTTCCGTGGTGGATTGCGCCGCACGAAGGGCGGGCGGCACTTAGCTGGAGCGTCAATGCGCACGCGCTAGCCTTGGATGGGGCCGGCTTGCACACGGCGAAAATTCAGAAAGGTACACACGGCCACGAGTTGCAGACGCGGCAAAGAGTACGAGGCACGGTTGAGCGGACAGCTGGATGCAGTGGGTGCACGCCAGGCGACGAAGATGGAGACATGGGCGTTCATTTCATCATTACCACTCACTAGCTAGCTAGCACACGGCAACCACACCGCAATTCGTGAGATCATCATGCATCAGGACCTTCGTATACTCTCTCTCTCCCTCTCTTTCTCATACAGCTGCGTCAAGCATGGCTGATTACTCACTCGCCCCCTCACCCGGAGCTGACAGGTGGAATAATGGCAACCTCGTCCCCCTCCCCGATCTGCCTGTCTGCATCGTCGGCTATGTCCACATACTCCAGGTTCACTGTCAGCGCACAGCTGCTCAGCACCTTCTCCTCGATGCCCTTGTACCTGTCTTCAAGCACCGCGAAGAGGCTGCCGACCTGCACTGGCGCAGGCAAGTGCTCGCTCGTCTTGCCCGTAAACGTCGAAGCGGCGGCAAAGTAGAGGATTGAGAAGTGCCCCGCAGGCGCTTTGGCAGGTGCCATGATGCCTAGTAGACAGCGTTAGCAATATGTCGTAGCCACAGAGCGAAAGCCCATGAGAGTCGAAAATTTCTGTCAGGAATAATAATGTTCCGCAGTCTGCCGCAAGAGCGACGGTCGGATAATACATGCTATAATTTTGGATACATCATAGAAGACGCGAGCTCGGGGAGGGCGGGAATGTTACATACCTGGCGTGAGTGGTGGGTGTGAAGGAAAGAAGAGGGCGTGGGCAGACAAGCATGTGAGTTCGCGCGGCGCCTTAGCGTCGGCGCACAGACATGCATGGAGCGCGCCTCCGCCGCATTTTTTGGTTGCGGCGACTGATGACATGACTGATTATTCACCACTCACCTCCTACAATGTATCCGCGTCTACAGTCGATACCCGGCCATGTGTGCCTGCCGTGCCAGTTGCGTCTCATCAGTCGGCATGGAAATTCAACCCAATTGGTATTTCACCGAGAAATTTCTGCCAAAAAAGTTGCACCAACTTTTCGGCGGGCGCTGCACGCCACTGCAAATGTAGGTAGCCATGGGCGCATTAGGAGCAGAACAAAATTCTTACAGGAAATAGCGCTTGCAACTATCGTCTGCGGCCAATGTCTCGCCGCAAACAATCGACCCATCCCTTCTCCCCCGCCCGCAAAATACCGCCATCCGAGACCACCTCGTACAGTGGCAAGATCTATATGGAGGCCCAACAGAAGAAGGGCTTATGGGGTTCGAGAATCATCCTGCTCGTGGAGACATTCAAAACACTCTCGTAAAGCTGTCATCTGTTTTCAAAGCAGATGAGGATGCCAAGACAACTGAATGGAATGGTGCAGAAGAGGAAGACCAAGATGGAGATCTGATAACGGTTGGACTTTTTCTGAAGCCTGGCGATGTCGTCGAACTGTCTCAGGCCGGACGGGAGCCGGTGCTTGCTGTCTTTGTCCAGCAGCTGGACACTGAAAGCCAATTCTTTTCGGTCAACGGGAGATGGGCACACTCGGTCCTGAAGAGGATCTCTTTCGTCATCCAAGGCTGCATTGACCCTGCGCTTGTGCAGCCGCTTGTGCCATTCTTGCCGACTACCCAAGAGAATGTGAACCCAAAAGGCGAAATTCATGTTCCCAGAGAGCTGTCCTCCCCTGTCGTGGCCGCTTTAGAACGCATGACCCACGATGCAGAGGACATCTACCGTACAAACGCATCGGCTCTGGATACAGCTTACACAGTCCTGGCTGACGAAAAAAGAACCCGTATGATGACATTGACCCAAATTGCCAAGGCGTTGCTCGCGCCCGACGATCCAGTATGGAAACCTTCGCCAGCTGCTCTGCTAGCTGTACGCAAGGTTCTGAACCACAACGAATATCGTTTTCGCTCCGACTCCCGTACCCACAGACTGACCAACGTTTTTGCCATTCGACCAAAGACTGATGTCAAGACTGTTGAAACAGTTCACGAGTGGATCCGCGACTATCGGGAATGTCTCGCCTTGGCTGCAGCCGACCGAAAAGGTGCTTTTCAGGCACGTACAAAAGGCGCACTGTATATTCATGATTTTCTCGCAAAAGCACGGAGGCTTATCGCGCAAAGTCGACAGGACCGTGAGCCAGATCATGGTGGCGTAGGACCAGTCAAAACATCTTTTTTTGAGGGTACTACCTTGAAGGCTACATGGGGAGAGAAGTTCACAAGCACCGATCAACAGATCATAAGTTTCCTACAGGCATGGGCACTCACTGATCAGTTTGCAGGCATGGGCGGCCTTCATGCTGCTTGTGCTGGTTTGATTTCCGCGTCGGATTGCTATCGCCCAGGTGTGGTCCGGGATGAGGGTACCGCGGAAGACAATTTGAATAGTATCCGGCAAGCAACTGGATTGCTGTTCCTGCAGGAGATTGGTGTGGTATCCCCTCACGAGAACCGCGCACTCTATGACGAACAATTGATGCTTCCTACTGTGCGCCTTTCGCGGAATCTGGAGCTCCTCAACAACAAGGCAGAGCTCACACGAAGAAATCCCGACTTCCGTGACTCCATGGCCAATTTCCGGCGCGACTGGGGGTCGACAACCGTGTATTGCATCGATGATGTGGGTGCCAAAGAGATTGACGACGGCATCTCCATTGAGCGAGTCAAAGATTCAAAAAATGAATTCTGGATCCATGTCCATGTGGCCAATCCAACGGCATTCTTCGATAAAACTCACACACTTTCTGGACTGGCTGCACATATGACAGAGACTGTTTATACGCCAGAGCGGACTTACCCCATGCTTCCTAATTGGGCTAACCATGAACATTTCAGCCTTGACCGCGATCGCCCTGCCATCACATTTAGTTCTCGCATCAATAGCGTTGGCAGCGTGCTCGAGACAAAGATCCAGCATGGCATCATCCGAAACGTTATCAGTATAACTCCCTCTGAGGTGGCCAAGCTCTTAGGCGACGACAGCATTCCGCACAGTACACGATTAGTCGTTGGTGGAGAGGTGCCACGTAGCGAGGAACGGTCGCCTCCAAACATCTCACCCCATCAGCTAGAAGAGCTTCGCGATCTGTACACTGCGGCCCAAGCTTTATGGGAGGGTCGTAAAGCTGCTGGCGGCATGCGATTCAACTCGAACAGCATAAATGTCCAGGTTTACGAAAGCGCTGGCGCAGCTGGTTTGACTTGGCTTCCGCCTTCAGTTGAACGAGCACGTTTTGTTCGAGGAGATCCAATCATCGAGTACACAAACACCATGCCTAAGGAGACCATGCAGCTCACCATTGGACCCAGAAACATTGTCGAGGAGATGATGATGCTTGCTGGTCGGTCCGCGGCAGAATGGTGCACTGAGCGACATATACCCGTCATGTATCGAGGCACAGTCAATCCCCCATCTCGTGAAGAAATGCCTTTGGAAGAACTCCAGAGCCTTGTGCATGCACATCACGCTAAGCATGGCAACTTGCCTCAAATTCTCGCCACGCGACTCATGCGAGCTATGGGTAGAGCCATTCCACATTCTTCTCCATTGCCGCACAAGATTATCGGAGTGCCTGGCTATGTCAAGGTCACCAGCCCACTACGTCGTTTCGGCGACATGATTGCACATTGGCAGATCGAAGCCGCCATACGATATGAAGCGCAAACCGGAAAACAATTCAATGGAGTTGATGCCTCTGTTTTAGCACGGAAGGTTCTGGCATTTTCTCCCAAGCAGATGCAGGAATCAATCATCATGCTGTCTCCCCGAGAGCGCATCATTACCATGGCGAAACGGCACTCCACAAACTTCTGGGCTTCTCAAGCATTCCTCCGTGCCTTCAAGTATCACGAGGCGCCCCTCCCTGAGGTGTTCAGGCTCCAAGTCCAACTCGTCCAACCAGGCCGAGGGTCCATTGGGCCTTTGTCTGAATATGGACTTGCGGCTTTCATGCGAGAGGAAGAGGGTGTTCAGCAAGGTGACGAATGGGAGGTTATGCTGGACAGGGTTGATGTGTTCGCTAGATGCGTCTTTGTGAAGCCGCTTCGCCTAGTGCATCGTAGCGAGGATTTTGCTGTCTGAGTACGGCCTATATGGGGCTGAAGAAAGTTGTTATCGAGCATGGTCAAAGAGCGTCTCCCTTTCTTTTTAGCCATGCGGATATGTTCCCGGACAATTTGACTGGTCGACGCTTTTGGTCTCTCGTGGCAACATGGAGTCTTTATTATGCCGGTAAGGATGCGCGCTCTCAACACCCCGCTAGATCACAAATGGCTTGGATTCACATTTACTACCATGACATTGAGGGAAAAGTGGCGAGAACCTCGCAGCCACAGCCTGTCAAATTACGAGAAAGGGTCAACGGTCTCTCTGGATGCAGTACACCAAGACATGTCGATGCAAGCCACGTATGCACCCACGGAGAAGGACCTAATGTGGGCGTAGATCTGCTCGTGTCCAGATCGTGGCGTCGGCTTGGTCCTGGTAGCATTTGTGTACACTAGCCACGCCGCATCAAGGAACCTGGTCGATCGGTTATGCGAATGCGCATGGACAGGATAGGATGGGAACGCCCACAGGTTTGGGCCGTGAGTAACACGCCAAGTTTATGCGCACTTTACAGTGTCATGTAATGCTCCGATAGCCTTGGATCGACTTGGCGATATCACTGTACAACGGCGCCATGACGCCAGACAGGAGTAGCGTATGCGCAATGCAACACGATTGGTTTGGTAGTCTGATGCAGGTGCATTATCACCTTGGTCGTCCCTAGCGTGTCATTCCTCTTTCACACTTCTTCAGTTTTGAGTCAACCAAGTGAGGCTTACCATGTGCATTTCCTGATTACAGCATCTCGTCGAAGCCGAGATTCCTCGACGATCGCAATTACTGCCGACCAACGACAGCTGCAGCCAGCATGTGCGGTTCAAGCTAACATCGTTCAGTATTTTTACACTTCCCTCGCCGGCTTACTGTGAGTCTATCACATTCTTAGGTGCATTGGGATCACTTTTCTATGCGTCGTCTTCTTCATCATTGCGACAACAAGCACAAGCATTTCTCAGCTACATTATGGCCGAGGTCCCACTCCGTCGTGCACATACATTTCAGGATGAAATTGCGGATACCACTACTGCTGGTCGGAGGAAACAGTCACAGACACAGCGTCAGCTCCTCTCTTGTACAAAGTGTAGAGAGCGCAAGGTGAAGGTCGGCATTCTCTGGATGCCCACTCCATACGAGCTGACGCATGATAGTGCGATCGTACAAAACCATGTTCGGCGTGTTGCGCTCGTGGCCTTCCTCGCGACTGCCACTTCATAGCTGAAGACGGAAACTACACCCCCATCCAACAAAGTTACGAACTACGCAAACTACGCGCCGAGAATCTCCAACTCAAAGAACGGTTTCGAGCTCTCAGTATTCCGACCCATGACGAGGAATCTGATCCGCCTACATGCTTCGACTCGCAGTTGGACAACGGGCTCGGTTCAGGTCGAAAACGGCGTGCCATGAAACAGAAGCGACTACAAAATCCAGGGTGGCAAGACAGCATCTACTTCGGCTCGCCTGGGATAGCCACTGTCATCAGCGATGTAGGGTGCATTCTACACATTATCAGGCTTGGACTGACATAAATCAAGTTTGCAGCAGTCAATGTCGATAGCCCTGCGACATTGGCGCACCTATTGCCCCGCCATATTGACCTGTTCGCATCAGAGGATTCTCCAACATATGTGTTTGCAACACTCTTTAGCGCATCTCCTGATGAATGCATCCCGCAGCTGCTCAGTTGCCTGCCTGCAAAGCACGAGCTATCAGAGTATTTGGACACATTTGAAAACCTTGTGAGCATCCAAATGCCCGCAACACTATCAAGAACTGAGGTAGAACGCTTCTTATCTGATGTCAAAAGCAACTCCCAGTCGTGTCCAACAATGTTAGCACTACTCTTAACAGTGATTGCCCTAGGCGCTCAACACTCGACCTGGGGGAAGGGTGGTGAATGCTATCCTGCCAAGGTCAAAGCCGAGGCCCAAAAAGGCAACGTTTACAGTAAGTCGGCCAAAGGCTATATCAGCTAAACTTATATCTTGTGTAGTTGCCGCCGCATTTCAAGCTTTACGATTGGCTTCATTCTTGCACAAGCCGTCTCTTCTCGCCGTCCAAGTACTTATTTTGGTTGGGAAATTCTTGACCAATAGTGGAAGATTCCTGGATGCCTTCACACTTTTCGGCATGACCATCAGAATGGCTTACGCAATTGGTCTCCATTGTCATCCGAAATACCTCGAACCTGCCCCCCCGACTCAGACCGAACTTGCAACAAGACAAAAGATATGGTGGTACATGCTAAGGATTGACGAGGAATACTCGATGACGTTTGGGCGACCGCTAGGAATCAGTAGCATCGGAACTTGTTGCTGGCCGCAGGAACTTACGACAGACCCTATCGTGCGGCGCTTTGGAGAATTTATGGCACAGTTTACCGTGCTAGCCAGACAGATTCTAAGCAGCGACCGCTTGATTAATCTTCGAATTGATGAGCTTACAGATGCGCTTCGGCGGTTACTGGATACGATACCTGAGATACTTCAGTTCAACGCTGCTTGGAACCGTCCTGAAAACACATCATCACATGAGCTCTGGCCGTTGATGAACATGGCTGCTGGTACGTTTACCGATTTCTTCCTGCTAATCTGTTCTCGTTGTGAGGGAATTCTTATCCGCAACTCGAATGAATTTCATGTACTTGAGAAGCATCTCCTTCATGATAATCAACTATCTTGGCGTTTTTATGAGGGTGTTTCCCGGTTTTTGATAAGTCTGCTCACAGAAAGCAGTTTTCCACTGCAAGGCCCACACCTATTTTACACTTCTGAACCGACAGAGGGGACAAAGCACCACTTCAGACACCATGCCAAGTTGCCAAGATGTCAACCCTTCCCATTCCAGCAACTCGTCACCAACGATGTCAACGAGTACTGGTGTCCGGGGCCGCGCTGCCGTGATAGCCTCATCGGAGGAAATCCTTTGTGTTTTAGAATTCTTCTATCATAAACAGCCATCAGCACTGATAGATTGGACTATAGGACAACAGGCATTCAACAGCTGCATGCTCCTTGTATCCGATGCGATAGAGCACTGTAGAATCACCGATGGCGCTTTGAAAGTCGAACAAAGCTTAGTCATATTCAAGGAACTTGGCGAGAATAACGTGCACAGACTCGCACAATATGCAACCGAAAAAATCAGTTCGTGTTTGAAGACGCTGTACGACATTGTTGCGCAATCGCCCCACAACAAGAGTGAGGCTCGCAGTCGGCAAGAAAAACGCACCGCCATACCGGGATCCAGGAAAAGTGAGGCAACACAAGCCTTGGCTACAGTAGGAAACGTGATGGGTCACACTGGGATGCAGCTCCTGGAAGACTGTGGCTTACAAGCTTCCGTCCAGGAGGCCTTCGCTCCTATGAACTGGAATACAGCAGGGTTACTCACGGACCATTCAAACGAACATGAAATTCAACGAGAGAACACAAAAATCGGGGAAAAGAATGCACTAAAGCCTGGTTCGCACAGACAGGGTACTCTGAATTTTGAACCAACGGACGCCGTGCAAGGTTTGAGCAGATCGGTTACACAATACGCCATGACTTCTAACGATGATCGTATGCAGCCACACGATTACACAGACCCAGATTCTCCCAGAGATCTCGCGGAGCTAAATGAAGAGAGGCCGAAGATGGGTACAACAAATGACCCGGGACGACAATCCAGTCGCTGCCATGAAACGATTCGTCAGTCTGACCCCAAGGATCTATTTCAAGAGCTTAATGAGACTCAATATTCGGGACCCTTCGAGCATATCAATTGGACGCACAAGATAACTCCAAGTCAATGCGAAAAGAAAGAGCCGTATGCGGCCCCATTCGTCACAGTAATGGCCTCATCGTATGGTACAACCGCATCACAACGACAAAACTCATGTCCAGCACATTTGCGCACGAACACGGATTACTCTTTCCGACCAGCATATTCCTCAGGCAGCAATGTCGACAGTTCAACCAATGCCCCCGCGGCACACACACCACTACATGCCTCAGTGGCAGCGCCACCAGGGCCCCAAGCAAACACTGGCTACGAATATTTTCAGGCCAGTCTCTCATGCCCTCCTCGCATGGGCAACCATGCTGTTTGCACCGATTCTATTGGTAGAAATGCGCCATGCTCACCGATATCAATCAGTAGTGCGAATCCAGGAGTTTCTTTGGCCAATAATGGAATGTTTCATGGCAACCAGGGGCAGTTTGACTATCTTCATTGAACGCGTTCTCTGAACAACATGACGTAATTGACCCTGACAATTCGGACGGAGAACATTCCTGTTGGGGATTGAGGACGGTACTTTGACATTCCAAGGGAGCTTGTGGGGTGGACGGAACGCTTCACCGACGGCTTTGCAAGGATAGGCAAAGTGGGTCGATGTGGTAGTCGGCGCCTCGACTTATTATTATTGTTCCATTAGAGTCTAGTGAGCTCGAGGCTATGTAAGACTTTGGCCGAGGCCGTTCTAACTAGATTTATTTACAAATACGAGTTTGTGCTTGAAGTGTGTCTGTGGTGCTTCGGCCTTTGTCTAGGTAAGCGATAGCTATCGCTTACTAGACGCCTAGTGCTAAAGAGCATTTTGATAACAGAAAGAGATGTTAGAAAGCAAAGCAATCCCCCAGCGGGCTCTTTTAGGGATAAAAAGAAAAAGTTTCGACTTAGGTAGTTTTAATGAGTAACTCTCTCGTTCAGTTTTTAAGAGTCTTCATCTCAAGTTTTAGGAGTAACTCTCTCGTTTCGACTTAGTGCCCAGCGA